GCAAATAAATGAACAAACATGCAGTTTGCGAGCAGACTCCGCTATTGCTACATCTAGAGCTTTCATAGGGACAAGCTGCAGTAGTAGCGAGCAAGAGCGACAAGTCCGCAGCTTGTACACTCTTGAGAACAAGCAGCGTTTAGTATGGCCACATCATGGAGCTGACTCAATATCTCGCTGCAGTGTACCTTCATTTCAAACATGGAGCTCAAAATGCCATTGCACAAAGCACACCAAGAGCTGCCAATTGTAGCAGCATAGCTTCACCAATTAAAAAAACCACCTTGGTGTTTTCTGTTGAGTGTTCTTTTTTTTTAGGAACAGCTCAGGAAACATTGACTTCAGTGCAAACCCTCTGGGCTAATAGCAGCAGCAATAAAAGTAGTTCAAGAGCGAAGGGGCTGGCACTGTTTTTCTTTACTGTACGGTCACAGATATCACAGATATTGATGTAGGTATTCTCTCTGATAGGTGGTAGTTTTCTTTCTTGGCTTCGATGATGCAGGTTGCACACACCAGTCAGCACAGTCACTGCTAGAGAGAAAAAAAAATGTGCCTACGCAGAAAACACACTTTTGCTGCTCAATTAGATGCTTGTGCCCCAGAGAGCATCATCTGTGGCCAGTCACTGGGACAAGTGCGAGTGCACACCCATGTTTGAGGACTGCTACTTAATGGCAAGATATGGGAATAATATGGCACATAATATGCTTGAAGCATTTTTGATTTGTGAGGCAGAAACTGAGCATGTGAGCGTCCTGTCCATTAACTTGTTAAAATACCAGTATCTTTTGAGTTGAAGTGTGATTTAACGTATGAATATGCTGTTTTGCACATGCATCATCTTTGACATTCTCATTGGTGCTTCGTCTCCTCACCCACCCGGATGTGTATATATTTTCACGAGCACAACAAGACTGACAGCTAGAAGTTGACCGGAATGAGAGCAGCAAAAATGTTCCCTTTTTCTTTTAGAGCCAAAATGAGTATGAGCCACTGTGGGCTCGTTCTTCAATGGTGGCATGCGTCATTACCCCGTCTTCCAAGAAGCATTGCCTGGATGCTGTACATGAGGGCAAAAAAACGAAAATGAGACGAAGGTTACTATACACGCAAAATCAATGGCGTAATGCAAAATGAAGTACTCAGTTCTGAAGTCAGTAGTCAAATGGGAAAAATAGTTAAGAATATAAGGAAAAGGAGGAAAGAAACAAAAAAAAAAGCAAAGTTCCCAATAAAGTCGGTCACTCCGCTGGTTAGTCGCAGTGCGAAAAGTATGGTTTCAGCCTTGAAACGTGAATGACTTCAGTTTGCTAATCAATATATTCCCACCATCTGCACAATAAACTGGTTGTAAATGTGCCCTTTGTTCTATCTCATTTTTTAAATGCGAAGCATTTTTTAGCGAACTTCGGCGACTTTGAGCATATCTATCTATCTAGCTGCCTAGGACTTCTAGCTCTTAGCTGGTTATGCACTTCTAGCCCCTTAGCTGGTTATGCACTCCCATCATGATCAGCCCATTTCAACCAAGCGAAGATGTTATGTGATGCTGTCAAGTCATGTGCCCTTCCGATACGCCTCAAACATTTATGATATGTGACGTCATATGATGACGTTTTCATGTAATGATAATTTATTGAATCACTCGTGTTCACGCTGCCGATGATCAATTTTCGCTTTTGATGAGGCATTTAATGCTATCGCCTCAATGCAATGCACGGCTGTAGCTCCGTAAAATTACAGCTTCCGCCGGTGTTTGGCGGAGCGTGATAGCAGTAATTAGGCAGAACAATTAGCTTCGTGATAAATCTTCGTACTGCGCTTTAATATGTAGCCGTCATTTACAACCCGAGTATTTTATTGATGATAAGTAGGGGTGGCTGAAGACGACCCGTCACGTTTGGCAACATGGCAATTGGTATCACTAATCGGGAATGCACCACATCGGAACAGTCAACAAATGAGTATCATTAACAATGCTGTCTCGTGCTCACTGCCGTCTGCAACGCTAACATTACGCCCTGAAACTGAATGGGAGCCCATAGACACCACACAGCCATTCTGCCTCTACTCTGCTCGCTACCGAATTAACAGACCAGAGAGGAGAAGAAAGAAACCGAGCTGTACAGCCGGCTGTTAAGGCAACGACAATCTGTCCACGAATACGCAGGCGAGCTTAAGCAACAGACCATAGGCCGCATTTTTCATTCCTGTCACCTTGGCTCAAGTCGAGAGTCGGCTTTTGACTTGACTTTACCTGCGCCTGTTGAAAACATTGGCAATGATCACAAAAATCACTTCGCATGTGGAGCTGTTCTTGTTTATTTCACGATGATTTCATTGTTCAAGCTCTGAAATGGTGAAATCATAGTTCCTCATTTTCTGACACTTGCTTTCTCTCGGTGGCAACACATGCAAGGCTTTATGAAGAGAACAGATGATGACCTGTATCCCTGGAAGGAGTCTAGTGGCATTTCGTGATATTTAGAGCATGACCTCCAGGCTTGTGCATTATAACTCCAGGCTTGTGCATACACCATTTCCGGCTCTGCAGTCTCACCCGCTGAATCTTACCAATATCTTTGTGTCATATTTTCAAGTAATATTTCCTGGTCAGCCCACGTGACTAACATAGCCAACTCCGCGAATCGCACTCAGGGTTTTGTACGTAGACACTTAAGACTTGCGCCCCCATCAGTTAAACTAATATCGTATGTCACACTTGTTCGTCCAAAATTAGAGTATGCATGTTCTGTCTGGGATCCCCGCCAATCTCACTTATCCAACATTCTCAAATCGATTCAAAACCGTGCTGCACGTTTTATCTACTCTGAGTATACCTACAATTCCAGTGTTTCCAAACTTAAAACTCGTGCTCACCTTTCTAATCTAGAATTACGACATCACATATCTCGACTATGCCTTTTTCACAAATTTCGTCTTGTCCCCATCGAAGTTCCGGCCATCCTACCAGTCCATCGCTCATCAAGCCGCAAAACCATTCAAGCGCAGTGTATCCTCCACCAGCCCAAAGCACCGCACATCTTCGCTCCTTTTTCGTGACAACCGCACGGGACTGGAATCGTCTGCCTGCAGCTACCGTGCACCACTCCGACCCGCATCAATTCAAGATTGCCCTCGAATCACTTTTTTATTCTGTAATTAATACCCATCTTTCATGTAATACCCCAGCTGGGGCCTTTGAGGTATTAAAAAAAAATAACTATGCTACATCACTCGAGGGTAGAAAGCATCGGGGAACATTAGGCACCCAAGCTTTTAATATTAGCTTCTGGCAAAGGCTTTTCTCAAAAGTCGGCTTCTTTCAAAAGTCGACTTTCAGTTAGTCAAAAAAGCAATTCTCAGTCAAGCGAGCGCCGCGGTGACAAAATGATCTTCCGCAGATTACTGGCATGAACTATCTGGTATTGGCCTAGCAGATGACGCGCGAGCACCTCGATCAAGTAGTCTCGAATGACACATGCCTTTGAAATGAGCTGGGTGTCTAGAATAACAACTGCTCCAGGATTCTCGTTTCCAAGCTTCTATTACACCTTAATGTGAATACAGCTGAAAATCGAGCCATGTACCAGCTTCAAATGCAGCCGCGGCATTCGTTTGCACGAGAGATGATGCGGCAGCATCTCTACCCCAGTTGCGGCTCCTGGCGGTGAAACGCCGCAGTAGCACCAACGGTCGCTTCGCATTGAAATCCGGTTCTTCGCCCGGACACTGAAAAAATAGAGGCGCTGGCTAGACATATACCAAATTCGGTATTATTTGAATAGACAACGAAGGTAAATGACACGACCAAACATGATATTCATAACATGCCCGTCATTTAGAACATGACTACATGCTACGCTGAAAGCGAGGTCGCGGCCATTTTGCTAGTGACACATATATAAAATTTGGTATTATGTGACGTGAATGGACGACGAAGGTAAATGACACGTCTAAACATGATAATCTTGATATACACTTCATGTAAAATGTGACTACATGCAACGCTCATAGCGCTCTCTTGGTCGTTTCACTAGCGCGACTTATCACGTCACGTGTTACCAAATTTGGTATCACGTGACGTGAATAGACGACGAAGGTAAATGACACATTCAAACTTGATAATCATGGCATGGAAGTCATGTACGGTATAATTTAAGTCAATGTTGTGCTGATTTTAAAGTGACATATCAACTTTCCTCATTCGTACTTCGCATATTATTGATTCCTGTATGACATGGGATCTGCCAATTTTTCTTTTCCTAAAATGTTGTGCGCACCAAAAAAAAAAAAGCGAGGGGGTAGTTTCTTTGAGAACCCATCTTATTCCTGCTAATGTCCTAATATCATCACGCATGTAGGAAACAAATAGGACTAGAGGATATTCTTTTGACATTGGGACAAAGGCAGGGCATGTAATGATCAGTAAGAGCAAGGGAATGGATGATATGAAAAAATGGGAAATGCAGTGAATTATGGCAGAAGGTTCAGTGTGGGGCTAAAACTGAGTATTTCACAGGCATAAAATGTAGTCTGCTTGTGCAGGACAGGTTGGAATGTAAAAGAACTTGTTGTTGGGCTAGTTAATACAACATTTCTAAATGTTAATTCGAGCCCAAACACACGATACGATCACTCAAACACGCACGCACCCAGGCGTCAAACACACACAGCGCTGTGTGTGTTTGATGCCTGGTTGCGTGCGTGTGTGAGTGATCATGTCGTGTGTTTGCGCTCGAATTAACTTTTAGAATGGTTGGAATGGAGATTAATGAGTGATGCCTTTGGCCTGCTTTGAATATGGAACAGCATGATGGTGATGACTCGCAAACCTCTATTTACATATTCACCAACCAGGATTTACGTCGCCTATGGAGGTTTGGGTCGTGCTAGGGCACAATTTCAACATCTTGTCTGTGCATTCTGATGAAGGTGACTTGTGACTTGCTGTACTGCTGTTTTCGGCTGTATCACTGAGCCCTGTGCCGGTTCAGTTTCAGAAGCTGCAGGCCTGGGAGCCAAGGAGGACAGAGCTTGGCTGCTCCGAGTTGACCAAGGTGGCACCTCGACAATACTCGAGGAGCTCTTGGAGGGAAGCGAGGTACGGCGTCCACTGTATTCTCCTGCCTCTTTAGAGCCGAGGATTGTGTTGTTTTTTTTTTCACTTACAATAGTGTTATTCACCTTTATGCAAGACAGTAATTCTTTGTACAAACAGCAAAAATGCGTGCAGGATAACTGCCAATTGGGCATGTTGGTCAAGGCTTATGTTGAAAAAAGTGAAACTCGCCTGCAGACTCAAAAAGCAAAGAAAGCATAAGAGTGAGTGCTTGCTAGCAACTGAATACTTATATTCAGGAAAGAGCATTCTTCAATGTATATCACACAAATGCATCTCACCATATACTATGCTTATCTAAAATCATTCTGGATCACCAATAGGCCACCAAAGAGAGATTGCATACATTGGGGACGGACGTGTTAAGACACTGAGTAACAAGAAAGGCTATTATGTTGCATCCAAGAAGGCAATTTTATATGGTGGTTTTGGGACGTTAAACCCCACATATCAATCATCAAGAAGGCAATTTCAGAATCTGATAGCAGTAAGGACACCTGGCTGACACGCTTATTTCCTGCCTTCTTAATTTCAAAGGCTTCAGTTATTTCCCCTGTGGTTCACTGTTCGTGCTTCTCAATGATGGCTTTGTCATAGATATAGGTCGGCAAACCCACTCGTGTGTCAAATCAGTGAGATCGACTGGTGAGTCCGGGTAAGTAATGTTTTGGTGAGCCTGGGTGAGCCCCATGCACAAAATATACTTTTGAGTCTGAGCGAGCTATTTTTTGCCAATCTGTCATTCTATTTTCTCAATTTCAGCATTACTTTCAACCTTATGTAAGCTCACATTTACACCCACGTCGACACACACGTACTTTAGAGCACCAGCATTCATTATCCAGCTCAATATTTATTGATCATAAAAGTGAGTTATAAAGGATAGAGAGGGGAGGCATGTGCACCGTCCCCCTCCTTTGAAACATTTCAAAGGAATTCTTGATTAAGATATCTCGCGACCTGCGTTGGTGGTTTTATGCCGAGAGTATCTAACGTGGCGTGGCCTGCCTTGGTACGTGCTAGCCGAAGCACTTGGTTAGTGGGACGACTCTGATGAGCTTCGAAGAGCTCTGACGCTGGAATGACGGGAACACATACGGGTAATTTTAACGCCTAAGCTCTAAGAAAAAGCTGACAAAGGCAGCGTCAACCTAACGAATGCAAAGAATAAATGTCAGGGTTTCAGCAGGAATCGAACGCCAGCATTTTGCATGGCAATCAAGCATTCTACCACAGAGCCATGCCAGTTCTCGGTACTATTTTTTTAATAGACGCTATTGTTCGTGAAATGTAAATTCTGGTTGGAGTGCTAGCTATCCAATTTTATAAACATTACACATGCACTGCTATGATACAGCTGTCACGTCGGGTTAACATCAATTGTAGTTAGGTGTCATTTGCTGAAGTTGATATATGGGCTACCATCCCCACAAGCACCAGCACTTCATGCCGTCTTACCACTTCTGGTGTTGCTAATACAGTAGACTCTGAGTAAAGGGAAGTCTATTAAACAGACCTATTGGTTAAACGGAACTATCGCCTCTGCAGTGCTTGGTTTCGGGCTTGTATTCTGCACACATGTTTACCTCTCAGTAAACGGAACTTCTGTTAAATGGAACATATTTTCCCGGTCCCTTCAGGTTCCCTTTACTGAGAGTCTACTGTATTCATCTTGTTCTTGACGTCGTGATGCAACTGTGAACAACTGGTTATATAAAACATATGTGGCAGTTTAACGTACGTCTGTGTGTGCACTTGTACATATCTTTACCACCACTTCATTACGTTTCACTCAATGAAATTAATTGCAACACAGTCCACATTCCATGCACACGCTTTAAATGAAATCGATTCCCAAGGTACGTAGGATCTGCTGAATTTTATTTTTATCCATTTTCGGTTTCGAATGCAATCCAAGCAATTGACTAGCTCAAGGCAAATGATGTAAAGATTTTTGGTGCCTTCAGTATTGACGTTGATCTACATTATTCCATTCCGCATGGTCACTTCGTACAATGTTTAAACGCATGCATCATAAACCAAAATTATGAGGCACCCCACGGCCTTTGCTAATACCAGTGGGGTGTCTGTAAAAGTGTTTATCGTCTAAGAAAATGTGGCTGCTTTCTTTGACGTTAATCGCTGAACGTTCAGGAGACCGAAATGTATTGTTGCGAATTCATGAAAACACAATATCGGAGTTCTGCATGCCGGAAGGTCATCCTAACGACACCTGCAAGAAGCACACTGCCTTACAAAACCAAAGTGTGCTTAAGCAGTTACGTACACTACTGATCTGTGATAGGCGTTCAGGAAAATTGTTTGCTACTGAGATGTGACTGCCAACTACTAAAGCATGCTTGCATGGCAATACATCTCTATTGTGTTTGCCATTGCGATAATAAATGCTCAGATATTTAAACCCCCCTTTTTTTTTCTTTGGCGACATAGTGCTTCTTAAATTACTGCACTTGGCTTTCGCATTCCTCTGCAAAAGTTGAGCGTAAAATAACAAGGGAGGCATAGCTAGGTGTAAAGCAAACGACAGACGTGGCATGCGGGCGATGTCGATCCTCAGTGACTTGCAAATTTCATAGCTTGCATAGATGCCTGCTGGGGCTTTTCGCCAATATAGTCTCATGTGGCAGCGCGAGATTCTTTTTAAGGACACATGGGACAGCATCTGTGGTACTGATCTTCAATATATATCTGCCTTACACTTGTTTACATATAAGTAAACCAGCAGTAAATAAAGTGCAACAAAAAAGTCACAGATTTGCCGCAAAGGCGAAGCAATGAACGCGATAGCAACAATGTGAAAGGTCCTGTGCAGAATGGAAAGCAGATTGAAATGTGCCCCGCATTTCTTGCGCACAAATTATGCACGAAATGTACTCACAGGTGCGGATGCACGCGTATAAGCGTTTCATCTGTTACTTCGCTGAGCTTGAAAAGCACGCGCTTTTCGCGAACAAAAACTGCAATGATTGCAGTGACCTTTGTGCGCCTGGTAACTTAAGCAGAATCATTCCGTGTAAAGCCCGAGGCCAGCCAAGGCGTACGATCCTCCCCTTCTCACCACCACGAGATAAGGGCACGTGAGGGAGCGTAGCTCCCCTTCTCTAAGCCAGGCAAAGTACGCGTAGGAGATTGAAGCAGGCGCCGCTGCACGATGTGGCGACGTGCACTCATTGCCCCACCTTTCTGGTAATGCCGAAAACGCAGCAGAGGTAAGTGGTAGGTATAAATAGCTTGCCGTTTGTATGTTGAACAACATTTTCCGGGGTGGCTCAGTAGTTAACGCCTCGCTTTCACAATGCAGAGGTCCCACGTTCGATTCTGCACGCCGGAGTGCTTTATTCTGGATTTTTTTCTTTCTTGCGTTTTCACATATATAGATACATACACCTATACGGTGTATGACATCGACGCTGGCGGGAAAATGCAGGCAAGAGTGTCCATACAATTGCTAATGCAATAATAACCTGCTCCTTGGGGTACAGCACCGTGAATAATTACAATTTATGATGATGTTCTGTGCAGCCTCGTACAACGCCTGACCAAAAGAAGAATGCTGTGGTGTCTGGGGCTCAGCGGGATGTGCGGCCGACTCCCCCTTGGGACACCCCAGCTGGAGCCCACCCGTCAGCACGAACAGCTTGGCTGCTGGCCCTGGGCCTGGCAGCTGTGCTACTGTTGCTCTTTGCTGGTCTCTGTCCCGTAAGTTGGTAGTCACTGAAGAGTTCCGCTAGAGAGTTTGTCTTGCATGCGCATTTTAGCTCTATTTGCAGTGCTCTTCTGTAAAGGGGCACTGAAACCCTTTTGTGAGTAAGCATCGAATCTGTTGTCACAAGTGAATGGCTCAAAAACCAAGCAAAAAGAAAAGGTTTTGTTTGTATGCCTCACTCCTGCGGTGATGTCATGCAAGCGTGACACGCCTGCAGGATGTAGCACTTCTCCTCTTTGTACCAGTTGAGCCTTTGAGGTGGCCGCCGTAGCCTGTTGTGCCGATGAAGTGGTGGTGCCTCAGGTTGGCTAGAAGGTGGAGATCTTCGAGCGGGGTCAGCCCTGCAGGCTGTCTTGGGCGAGGTTTTATGAGTGGTGGTGGATGTTGTAGCACTCTTTGGCTATGTCCAAGTCCATAGGGGTACGTGATTGCAGTTGGTCCGTATGACGACGTTGCTTGCCATTCAACGTGGACAAAATCGCCATCTGAGTTCCTTGGATGCGCGTGACCACTCCAAGCAACCATTTCAGCCGGCAGTGGACACTTCTCAGCCACACGAGCTGTCCTGCAAACAACAGCATTGTATTTGAGGGCTCTTCAAAATGCGGTTCAACACCTGTACTTAGGAGGAAACAGTCCAGCCTCGTCTGCAGCTAGTTCGAATCAAGACTTTCTAGCCTTCACCGGTGTTTCTCTGTAGCGGCATAAAAACTGACTGAGGCGTTTAAGGAAGGAGTTGGGGCACCTTGAGCTTTTCGAAGGCCCTTCATAGTCGTGCGGACGCCCGTTTCGCCAGGCCATTTGACTGTGGGTAGTAAGGCGTCATCATCACGTAGTTGATTCCGTTCATTTTTACAAAATTCTGAAACTCGGTTGAAACAAGTTGTGGCCTGTTATCTGAAACCCGTGCATGTGGCAGTTTGAATTTGGTGTCAGGGACCTTTTTAGGACCCCTGACATCAAATTTGGAAACTCCAGATGCTTGTGTTCACAGAAAGTCTTGCATGAGCTTCCTTCTGGCCGATTATTAGTGAGGAGCGTTGCCTGTAAAATATTTAAATTTGGTTTTAAAGTAAGGTTGCGTGTAGTCTGAGTATTCAGGTGCAATTGACATTTTCTTTGGTTTGACTTAGACAGAGTTCGACCTCTCAAGCAAGTATTGTTGGTGTCAGAAAACGTTTGGCGGACACGTACAATACCCCGACTGGCAAACGAGGATAACTATTGTTCGTCACCTCTCTTACTTTGTTGTCGGGCTGCTTTTAAGGTGGTTTGGCTGCTTATGCCAGGAATGCTTTTTTTTTTTTTTTCTGAGGGGCACATGCTCAAAGCATTCACATCATTTCATTCTTCACCACCCGCAGGCCTTCCTGTTTTAAATTGGCATGTTCAGCATCACCGAAGCTTGAGTGCACATAGTTTCAGGCGCTGCCCCGCGGTGGGGCGCTAGTTTCTTATGGTATTTGGCGGGCGTTTCAAGCTGTCGCAAAATCGTTTCGAATTACGACACTAGCATTAATTCTACAATGTGTTGGAGCATTTATGATTCTATTTTAGCATTATAATTATTATCATCATCATCAGTCTGACTACGTTCAGTGCGGGACAAAGGCCTCTCCCATTATCCGCCAGTCAACTCGGTCCTGTGCTTGCTCTGCCATGCTATACCTGCAAAATTTCCAATCTCATCTGCCAACCTAACTTGCTGTCTCCCCCTAGTCGCTGACCTTTTCTGGGAATCCAGTCAGTTATCCTTAATGACCAGTGGTTATCTTGCCTATGCTCCACATGCCCACACTATATGCAAAGCTACAAATACTTGTTAAAAAGTCACAAACAAAACTTGCACTGTCAGGGATCCTTTAACGCTTGCACTGTGGTTTCAGTCGTTGTACTGTGCGTTGATATGGCCTTCAACCACGTGGTTTCGGCATCTACATGTGTTCTTCGACGAGGCCTGCGTACTTCGATGTGCACCCGAAACCATTTCCAGCCTGTTTATGGCCATGGTGCTGGATCTGCACAGCAGGCACCCAATGGTTTGGGATAACATCTCACATACCCGTACAGTCTTTTAGATGCCGACATTCAGCTCTGGATACCACAAAATGGTTTGAACAAAGCTTTTCAATGCCCCTATTCCTGCATGTGTTTGACATAGATTTCCGCTCAAGAGATTTGCTGCAGCCACTGATGGCACGACTATTCTATGCCCCCAATAAGTGAGGTCCTGATTGACAGTCAACTCGCACTTCTGGAAGAACAGCCGTAATTGCTCCTCGGTCTCTGCCAGGTACTTTGGCCTGCCCTGCAGGATCCGCTTTCGCACCTGCTGTAACATAGCAACTTGAAAGGTTAGCATCGCCAACTCTTTGACACTGATGGGTGCCGCATTCACAGCTTCAGTGTACAATGGATACACGGGAGCATTGTGTTGCTCGTTATCAAGGTTCCCCCAAGTCGCCTGAAGGCATCTGCATTTGCATTTTCATACCCTTTACGATAGGTCACACTGTATCAATATCTGCCCAACAGCAGGGCCCAACACAGAATGTGAGCAGCGCCCGTTGGCGGAACCGCCTTGTCTGGACTGAAGAGTCCAGTTCACGGTTTGTGGTCGGTTACTAGTTCAAAGTGGGTCCTAGTCTGTAAACTTGGTCCTCCCAAGTACAAGAGTTTAGCTACGCTAGTACGTGACTGTGTCAAATGCATATAGTTCCTGAATAATGAGAAAAATACCGCTTTGCAGTTTGAAGCACTGTCCTCACTGGCATGGTGTGTGGTGGTCAACGTACCGAGTGCAGAAGTGGCACGGTTGGTGCGGCTGTGATGTTTGTCTGCGCACAGATGCATTACCGTGTGTGGTGGCGTTGAATAACGCGTGGCAACCACATTGCTACAATAGGCTAGACTCCCCAGGACCGTGCCCAGGCCAGGGCCCATGAAGGCAGCACCAGAGCTCGTACACAAACCTGCCCCCAGTCACCGCACCTAGGCAGGAGCCACTCCTTGTACCTTGGACTGAACTGTCCTGGTCACACGCCTGCCTCATGAATGCCAGCAGAAGCTCGTCCTGCGGAACGGCATTCCGCTTCTCTGCCTTCGTGGCTTCATGTCACGAGCCTTTTCCGCAAGTTCTCCTGTAGCCTGTTCTTCTTTCGCTGTTATCTTGCCGCCTCCACACCAGCTGCCCGCCTCTCCTCTTCTTCGGTTTCCGCTTTCTTGACACTTTTAAGTCCTTCACATTGTCGTGGACTAAGCTTAGAATGGTGACAACGAAGGGCTGAGTGAAACACACTTGGACTGCAGTAGCGTCATGTGCCTTTGTTTGTAAATATATCCTGCGGTTATACTTTCTTCTTTGCAACAATATGAACAAATTGCAATTAACACATGCATTCTGTGTTCTTTTCTCAAGATATCCGCCTGCTCAAAAAAGTTTTGGAAAAAACAACTTTTTACATGCGGATGAAGTGAAGTACACAAAAACAAAACATATTTGAAAAAGACATTAGGGACAGGTGTTCAGTGCGTAAGTAGTGAAAAGGTATCTCAACATTAAAATTAAATTGTGCCGCCGCTAAACTTTTTTACCCAGTAAAGAACTGAAATGCGGCCGAGGTAGTCGGCACAACTATGAAGTCATACTCAGTAGGCAAGAGACTCTAGCAGAGCTCTCGTCTGTTGATTCGTTTTGTGGAGTTTATGTAAGCAAGCAGCTAGTGGTCAGTTTGCAGCATGAACCGGTTGTTGATGAGGTACACATTAAACTTTGGAATAGCCCCCACAAGAGCCAGCACTTCTCTTTCCAGTTTGGCAAACATCATGTCCACTTGAAGTATTGGTTTGTTGTCAGTAACTACGACTCGATCCAGCTATTTGGAATCAATACAAAGTCGGATGTTTCCGTATTTTTGTCCGGACCACAACAATTGAAGCTTCATAAGGAGACTACGAAGGCTCATTAATGACTTGAGTTAGCATGTCCTGCACTTCGCCCTGCCGCGGTGGTTTAGTAGCTAAGGTACTCGGCTGCTGACCCACAGGTCGCGGGATTAAATCCCGGCTGCGGCGGCTGCATTTCCGATGGAGGCGAAAATGTTGTAGGCCCGTGTGCTCAGATTTGGGTGCACGTGAAAGAACCCCAGGTGGTCTAAATTTCCGGAGCCCTCCACTACGGCGTCTCTCATAATCATATGGTAGTTTTGGGACGTTAATCCCCACATATCAATCAATCAATCATCAATGTCCTGCTCTTTTTTTCTTCAGCTTCTTTGATGGTGAATGGTATAGCGCACCTTTGCCGGTGTTTCAGTGGTGAGGCGTAACCTGCACTCAACAAGGTCCATCTTGCCTGGGACATCGGTAAATGCAGCATAGAACTATCAGGAGTTCATTAATTGGGTCTGTCAGCAGCCTGTTTTTTTAGCCGCTACTAACACATTTCTGTATGTTTCCTGTTGGTGCAAAGCAATGAAGGGACTGTCTCGCTCGTCAGCAGCGTCTGACTGTAAACAGCAGTGTGTTGTATAGACCGCTTATAATGTAAGTTGCAGCAGTTCCAAATATTCACACTATGAACGGTCATCATCATCATCAGCCTAACTACGCCCACTACAGGACAAAGGCCTCTCCCATGTTCCAGCCAGTTAACTCGGTCCTGCACTTGCTGCTGCCAATTTATACCCGCAAACTTCTTAATCTCATATACCCACATAACCTTCTGTTGAAAGTTGAAATTTGAAAGTTGAAATTTATTTCACCACAACGATACACCATGATTTACACAAACAAGAAACAATTGTGGCATGGAAAGTAGGAAAAAAGCTGCGCTATAGCAGCTTGACTAGCCCCACCTCCCATTTGTACAAGGCAACAGAAACAATGGCACACCAAGCTCCATACGGTGCTCACGTATGATTGAAAGAAAAAAGAAAAGAAAATAACATTCTAGTGGTTGTTTATGAAGTACAGAATAGATGCACACTTGGGT